GTACCATAGCAGAACTTGGACATCCACCACTGATACCACTATTCTTGAGCATTATCTGGATATTGTACCTCTGTATCACTACTGAAACAAGCACATTGTAACAACCTAAAGTCTTCTATCACAGGTTATTGCCCTTCTTCTAATAGACTATAAAGCTGCTTCTACAGCCTTAAAACAGACTGGTTTACAACTAGTGTATGGATGTCTATGATAGATATTATTACATAAGAAGTATACAAGATGTGTGACTGATAGAACACCAATTGCTCAAATTGAGGCCTGAGCATACTGAAGTCAACATGTAAAGTCCAAGTTGTGGCCCAAGTACCCCAAGTACCCCAAGTATATAGACTTGGGTCAAGTCCGTGTACTTGGGACCAAGTACACGGACTTGGGGCCAAGTACACGGACTTGGGGCCAAGTACACGGACTTGAGGCCAAGTACACGGACTTGGGGTCAAGTACACGGACTTGAGGCCAAGTACACGGACTTGGGGCCAAGTACACGGACTTGAGGCCAAGTACACAGACTTGAGTCCAAGTACATGAACTTGGGCCCAAGTATGGGTCCAAGTCCGTGACGTTTTCCTGATGATCTATCGGACCTCCGTCATGTGTCCGCGAATCCATAGTGCATTAACACGTCATTCTGAGCACGATATTCACTCATAACTGCCCAAGTACTTCATTCTACAACAATGATCAAATTGACAGTCTACAAGCTGGCATCTCGAGTATTCAGGCGAAATCAAATCCCCATGTAGCATCCGGATGATCCATGCGAGTCACATCCGCGAACTGCTGAGCAGATCTGTATCCTTGCTCTCTCCAATAGTTCTCATTCAACGATCCTTCCTTCTCACTGGTCTCATTGACGTACCACATACCTGGCATGACATGTCAGTCGTCTCAGGAGAGCAATGGTCACAGCATATACTGACGTAGTTCTCCAATTACGCTGAGATCATAGTCGTCTACCGCATCGAATATGAGTTGTACAACACCTTGCAGTCTGTCGTTCTTAGGATGAAGGAACACCGCCTTCACATTCTTCAATTCGACGTACTCCTCCTTCATCTTGGGCTGCGACAACCCTTTGAGGCGCACATTCAGGTCCGCATGGAACAGGGTGGCGGCCAATTCGAGGTCCCTCGCAGCATCTCTCATTTCCTTCTCATACTCCGCAAGAATAGCCTTGATCGTCTCAATGGCGCATGATTCATTCCGATCCCAAGGGATGTTTCGAATCGGTAAGAAGTCCTCGTCTTTCATCTCGTATCGATCGGCGGGGAAGTGTTGCGCCTCAGCATCCATACTGAAAGCAGTCGAGGTGAGGTAAAGCACTGTGAGGTTATGGGAAGGCTTGGTACTGACTTCGAGGATTCACTATTGCGTGTTGCGGTACTAGTGCCGGCAGGGATGTCCATGATAGTCGTAAGGAGGTATCTACTAGTGTGTCGGAGTTGACGTTGATTCGTCGTCTAGTATGATAAGACCTTTATGCCTTACTAAGCGCCTATCTGTGTCCAAAGCGGTTCCAACGCGGTGCTCTGATGTGCTCCGATGTTCGATCTGTTGCCAGGGTGAACTGCAGGTACTTCCTTACTATGTGTCTCTTGCTTCGCCAATTCCTATCGGAGACATCTAACTGCCCAGGTACTTCATTCTACAACAATGATCAAATTGACAGTCTACAAGCTGGCATCTCGAGTATTCAGGCGAAATCAAATCCCCATGTGGAATCCGCACGATCCACGCGAAGGAGATCCGCTAGCTCCTCAGGAGATGAGTATCCCTGCTGTTTCCAATAGTTCTCACCCGGAAATCCCTTCTCCTCACTGGTCTCATTGACGTACCACATACCTGGGATGACATGTCAGTCGTCTCAGGAGAGCAATGGTCACAGCCTATACTGACGTAGTTCTCCAATCCCGCCGAGATCATAGTTGTCTACCCCCTTAAATATGAGTCGTGCATTGCCCCGCAGTCTGTCGTTGTTAGGATGAAGGAACACCGCCTTTACATTCTCCAAGTAGCCATATTCCTCCTTCATCTTGGGCTGCAACACCCCTTTGAGGCGCGCATTCAGGTCCGCATGGAATAGGGTGGCAGCCCATTCGAGGTCATCCGCAGCATCTCTCATTCCCTTCTGAGACCCCGCAAGAGTACCTTTGATCGTGTTTATGGCGCTTGGGTTTTCCTGATCCCAAGGACTGTCCTGAATGGGTAGAAAGTATTAACGGGGTTACGGGCCGACTACGGTAGGATCTAATGTAATCAGTGCCTCAGTGGGGAAAAGACTAAGTATTGTATAACTAGGTACCTAATGTAATCTACATGACGAGGACATGGTCAGTACATATGGGCATACAGCATAGAATACCTAGAGGGCTCACCAGTGCCTCAGTGGGGAAAAGACTGAGGCACTGGTCGACACGAACGTCGGTATAAGTGAGCGACGGGGAGCGCCCGCGACTGATGGTGGTGGGCGATAAGCTCGCCATGTGGGCGCAGGCGCTCAGGTACGAAACCCAACGTTCTCGAGACTTCGTCGGCGCTTGCACGCCAACACTCCCCCTCAAGCCTGACGAAGGCCGAGAGCGAAAGCGAGCATCTTGACCCGGGGACGAGGGAGCGCCTTCGTGAGCAAGTCGGCCACCATCTCGTTGGTTGGACAGTAGCGGAGGATCATACTATGTTGCACAACAAGCTCGCGAATGTGGTGATAGCGAATGTCGATATGCTTCGTGCGAGCGTGGAAGATGTCGGGATTGTCGACGAGCTTGAGAGCGCTCTGGTTGTCGCAGAGGAGAAGGGTCGGGGCCGCTAATGGAGCAGTAAGTTCTGATAGGAGGCTGCGGAGCCAGACGGCTTCACGGGACGAATCGGAGGCAGCAATGTACTCCGCTTCGGTGGAAGAGAGTGCGATGATAGGCTGCTTGGATGATCGCCAGCTGACAGCACCTCCATTGAACAGGAAGACATAGCCCGAAATTGAGTGCCGATGGGGTTGCGAAGCCCAGTCGGCGTCTGTGTAACCAACTAACCCGTCAGACGTAGATCCAAGAGTGAGAACGTACTCTCGGGTCCCCTTGAGGTAGCGCAGGATGCGCTTTGCGGCTTCCCAATGGATGGGTGCGGGATTCGCCATAAAGCGCGCCAGGGTTGAGACACCGAAGGCGATATCGGGGCGTGTACCGATCGCCGCGTACATGAGAGACCCGATGAGCCGGGCGTACGGCTTCTGACGCATCTCCTCCTGGATTTCATCGTCAAGGGAGTAGTCGAAAGGGTTCGAATGCGGATCGAAAGGGACAGTGAGCGGATGGGCGTCGGTCATAGCGAACCGCGTGAGCAACGTGTCGACATAGGCGGATTGAGAGAGGGAAATAGTGCGAGTGGAGCGGTCACGGCGAATCTCAAGGCCTAATAGCCAGCGGATTTCACCCAGGTCGACGATTTCGTAGCGTGAGGCAAGCTGGTCCTTCAGCGCACGCATTAGGCGGGTGCCGTTGGTGACTAGAGTGCAATCATCAACGTGAATGACAATAATGATAACCGCACCGTCTTGCAGGTGATAGAAGACGCCTGGGTCGTAGTTGCTGCGCGTGAGACCGACGTCGTCCATGAGAGCACAGACCTTCTTGTACCACTGGAGGCCGGCTTGTTTGAGGCCGTAAAGGGCCTTCTTGAGCCTCCAGACGAGGTTCGTCTTACCCGGGGCCTCGAATCCAAGGGGCTGACGCATATAAATGGTCTCCTCGAGGTCCCCGTTGAGGTAGGTGTTCTTGAAATCAATTTGATGAATTTCCCAATCCTGGGCGGCGGCGAGGGCGAGGACGAGGCGGAACGAGGAGAGGCAGGCGGTGGGCGAAGCGGTCTTGTCGAAATCGACGCCGGGGACCTGGGAGAAGCCTTGAGCACATAGTCGAGCCTTGAATTTGGCGACGTTGTTGTGCTCGTCGCGTTTTTTTGCGTAGTGCCCAAACTGAGCCGACAACGTTTGCACCGGGTGGGGCTTCGACCAGCTCGTAGGTGTCCATCTTGGCGATGCGGTCCAGTTCCTCGGCCATTGCGTCCTTCCACTTCTCGCGCTTGGAGCCAGCCATGGCCTCGCGATAAGTGGGCTCGTCGTCCGAGCTAAGAGCGGCGAGAGCGAAGATGGGTGTGCTCAGACAAGCGCCGGCGTCAACGTCTGCGCTGTCGGCATAGCCACCCTCCTGCTCACGCTCTTCCTCCTCCTCTACGTCTCTCCCCCCCTGGCTCTCCCCCTGGCTCTCCCCCTCAAGCTCTCTCTCGCCCTCAAGAGGCGCTGCAAAGCGCGCTGGGTCGCCGAAGATCGACGGCGCGCCGTGTGCGTCGTTGCCACGGCAGCTGCCCGGAGCCGCCGCGACGTGCGCCGCGTCGTCTAGGAGCGACCTCGGGACGCGCTGCGCACCCC